CAGTTGGTTTAAATAACATTGGAAAATGCTTGTCATTCCTCCGTAGCATCTGGTCCCCACTGGACCCTCATCATTTCCTTCACCTGCTCCCCCCACCAACCAAACTGTGCAGCTCTGCAACTGCATCCTGTCCCATCCTCACCCTTCTGCCCCCAACCCTCACCTCCTTGTACCCCCAAAATGTTTTTCCCAATAAAAAAAAAAACCACAAAACAACAGTAATTAGTCAAGTTACATAGTTCACTTCATCCTAATGTAAAATTGCACCACTACTCCTCCTCTACTGAGTTATCTATCAAATGAAATTCTACTCATTCTCGAAATTTTAACTTCTCTAAGATGTCATATCTATTTCCTCTTCCTCTGTGCTCAAAATGTATTCTGTTTTTATCACACCATGCCTTATTTTTCACAATCTCCTTGTCAGTATCTATTCATCAAATAAGTACAGGAATATTGTGTCTGTAACCAATGAATGCTTGATGAACTGGAATCAAATGAGAAAATTAATGTAGTACTATTTTTACAATGAAGATGATCATTTCCTTGGTCATATACCAATATAAATATCAATAAAAAGTATCTCTCACAAAACTAAAAACTCAAGTGTTTCTCAAGAATAGCTTCAGAATCTCAAAATCCATTTATTTATACATGAATTTTAGAGCTATTTTTTTAAGTTCAAAGTGGAATTAGCAGTTATTCTTAAAACACAGGTGGGACATATTTACAACAAATGCATAAAACAAAAGCCTTTAAAGAACATACCTATCATTACGCAAACTTCTCAGTTCAAAGATAAAAAAGAAACAGGTAGAAACATAAAAGATCTTTCCTCAGGTTACATACTGGGAGGTATAGGCAGCAGCAAGATAGTATAATAAACAAGCTGATTTAATCTCAAAATAATGATTCTTCTAATAATTTTAAATAGTCCCTGATTTTATAAAAATAACTCATTTATAAAATACTAATAGAATGATATAAAGCAGCTTTAACATTGCTTTCACTCAAAATAAGTAAAAAGGATCTGTTTTCCTAAAAATCAAGAGCTAATTTTTCTTTAAGCACCAAATTAAATACTGAATTTATAAATGGGACTGTTGAATTCAGATGGTAAATTTCTCTTATAATTATTGTGGCTACTGCTAAGAAAATAACCACACTACTTTAAGAACAGAATATAACCACACAAAACTCTATTTTCTTATTTTTTTGTGTGTGTACCATCAAATCAGATCTGACTAATACAGGAGGACATTACCCTCCTTCTCCAGCAGAGCACTGGTGGATTCAAACCACATACCTCTGGAATTGAAGTGCTGCTTCTTGCCACTAGGCCACCAGAGCTCCCTACAAAATACTATTTTCTTATGAAAGACCCCTTTTTTTTATTATTATTATTTGTGTGTGCGTGTGTGTGTGTACCGTCAAATCAGATCTGACTGGTACAGGAGGAGATTGTCCCTCCTTCCCCGGCAGAGCACCTGGTGGATTTGAACCGTGCGCCTCTGGGATTGTAATGCAGCTTCTTGCCACTAGGTCACCAGAGCTCCACAAAAGACCTTTTTAACAACTTCTTTTCTCAAGTTTCTACTTCTGGCCATTTTATGAGCTGGAAAAAAAAATTCTACTAAAAGTGAATATTTAATCCCAATTTAATATTTACCTTCACATTTGACTTTTTTGAGAAATTCACCACTACTCCCCAGCCAAAGTCATCTCCTTCATTCTTTACCTAAAAAGAAAGCAAATCAAGTTCATAAAACAAAAGCTACAGTACAATATATGAGAACTTTTGAATTAACTAGGCATACAAAAATATTTTTCAAAGATTTTAGTTTAATGAACAAGCTTTTAATCCTACAGGAGGGGAGAATATTAACAGTAGGCCACTGGAATCTTCCACGTGACAAAAATACTAAAAATCACATAGCGTATTTATTAAGGTTCAGAAACTATTCAACTGTTTAAATTGCAAATGATATAAAAAATTTTAAAATGCCTTATTTTTTATTGTTGTTAATTTTATTTTATTAATTTTAATGAATGTTTACAGAGATTTTGGATTTCCATACATTCATTGTTGCATTTTTTCCCCTGCCCCACCCCTCCCCCACCAGTTCGCTCTTCTCTTTGAAAAGAAAAACAAAAATTCCTTCATTGGTATACAATTCCCCCCCCACCTCCAGTACACCCTCCTATTCAACCTTCATTCTGGACTCTTGTCATAACGATAATACACAGTCATATATAGCTTTTAAACTGTTCTCTCCCTCATCTGTTTCAATGCAGTATACATAATTTATCCAATTTTTCTCAAAATGCCTTATTTTCTACATTTCTTTTTTATAAATTTTAGTGAACATTTACAGAGATTTTGGATTTCCATTCATTCACTGTTGCACTTTTCTCCCTGACCAGCCCTCTCCCCTCCAGTTCACTCCTCTCTTTGAAAAGTAAAAGAAAAATTCCTTCATTGGTACACAATCCCCCCCCTCACACACTCCGCCCTGAGTACACTCCACTATACAACCTTCATTCTGGACTCTTGTGATAACCATAATACACTATCATATATCGCTTTTAAATGGTTCTCTCCCTCCTCTGTTTCAATGCAGTACACATAATTTATCCAGTTTTTCTTAGTCTTACTCCAACCCTGATATCAGTCCCATTCTACAACAGTGGCATCATGCAGTATTTGTCCTTTTGTGGCTGAGATACTTCACTCAGCATAATGTCCTCCAGGGTCACCCATTTTTAATAATCTTTCATGAGTACTTGTTTTTCAATACAGCATAGTATTCCATTGTGTGAATATACCACAGCTTCTCTATCCATTAGTTTGCTGATGGGGACTTAGGTCGTTTCCAACTCCTTGCTATTGTGAACAAAGCCACAACAAACAGGGCTGTGCGTATATCTACTTGGATGTCAGTTATGGTCTCTTTGGGTTATATTCCCAGTAGTGGAATTGCTGGGTCAAATGGTATTTCTATTTGCAACTTTTTGAGAAAGCACCATACCACCTTTCACAGTGGTTGCACCATTTGACACTCCCACCAACAGTGAATCAGGGTTCCAGTTTCTCCACAACCTTGCCAACATTTGTTGCCTGCTGTTAGGTTAAATTTTGCTATTCTGACTGGGGTGAGATGATAGCTCACAGTTGTTTTGATTTGCACATCTCTTAGCCTAGGGATTTTGAACATTTCTTCATGTGCTTGTTGGCCATCTGAATGTCTTCTTTGGTGAATTATCTTTTCATATCCTTTGCCCATTTTTCAACTGGATTATTTACTTTTATCCTGTTGTGAAAATGCCTTATTTTTAAAGAACATTTCATACGTGGAAATAAATTTTCCATCTGCTAAATCCATGGGAACCAAAACCTGACCTTGAGTCTGAAGAATTTCAAAATCATCTCAGGAACAGATTTGAGGCCTTGAACACTAATGAGCAAAGACTTGAACTGTGGGAGGTTATAAAGAATATTATTCATGAAGAATGCAGGGCATCAGTAAAAAGACAGAGGAAGAAAGGACTAAGATGGATATCAGAAAGGACTCTGAGTATTTCACTAGAGCACCAAGAAGCCAAAGCAAAGGGGAAAAAAACTCAAGAAATTAAGGCACTGAAGAGAAGACTTCAAAAGCCAGCATGAGAAGACAAAGCGAAGTATTACAATGATATGTGGAAAGAGGTGGAGTGAGAAAATTAAAGGGGCCGAAGAGGCTCAGAATTTAAGCTGAAGAAACTAATAAGACAAACTCAAGCCTCAAGTTGCAATACTTAAGGATGCTTTGGGCAGAATATTAATATGATCCAGGAAACATTAAAAGATGAAAAGAGAATAGTCATTTTTACCAAAAGGAATTAGCAGACACAGAAGAATTTCATCAAACAACGTAAGAGCAAGAGCCTGTGATGATGAAGTTCAAGCTGCTCTGAAAGAACTGGCAAATAACAAGGCCCCAGGAATTGATGGCATATCAACTGACATATTTCAACAACCAAATGCTGGCCTGGATGTGGTCACTAAGTTGTGTCAAGAAATCTGGAGGACAATCACAGAGTCAACTGATTGGAAGAGATTTATATTTGTTCCCATTCCAAAGAAAGGTGACCCGACAGAGTGGAAATTAAAGAACAGTATCATTAATATCACATGCAAGCAAGGGTCTGATTAAAATTATCCAAAAATGACTGGAGCAGTAGAGAACTACATCAGTAGAGAACTGCTAGATGTGCAGGCTGGGTTTAGAAGAGGCCACGGTAGCAGGGACATCATAATGTTAGACAGATCTTGGATGAAAGCAGGGAGTACCAGAGGAATGTCTGTGTTTCACTGACTATGCAATGGCATTTGACTGTGTGGATCACAACAAACTGTGGCTGACTCTGAGAAGGAGAATCTCAAAACACTTGATAGTGCTTACGCAAAACCTATAGTTGGGTCAGGAGAAAGTCTTCAGAACACAGCAAGGAAACACTGCATGGTTCAAAACTGCAAAGGATGTATGCCAGGGATGTGTCCTATCTCTATACCTTTTTTTTTTATGGTGAGAAAATTTTATTACATTTAGAATTAGCCCGCTGGAGTCAGTTTAGATGATCCCAATTTTGTTGGCAACATCCAAAGCATCATAATCAGGAGCAAGTCGAACATAGGCCTTCTTCTCTCCATCAGGCCTAATCAAAGTGTTGACCTTAGCCACATCAATGTCAGAGAGCTTCTTTACAGCTTGTTTAATTTGGTGCTTATTGGCCTTGACATCCACAATGAACACAAGTGTGTTGTTATCTTCTAGCTTCTTCACAGCTGACTCAGTGGTCAGGGGAAATTTGATGATGGCATAGTGGTCAAACTTGTTTCTCCTGGGAGCGCTCTTCCGGGAGTATGTGGGCTGCCGTCGGAGTCTCAGCATCTTAGGCCACCGGAACGTGGGTGACGTGCGGATTTTCTTTTTTTTTTTTGGCTGTGGACGCCCTTCAGGACTGCCTTCTTGGCCTTCAACGCCTTTGCTTTGGCTTCAGTTTTGGGAGGGGCAGGGGCTTCCTTCTTCGCTTTCGGCGCCATCTTCGTAGAAAGGCCTCTATACCTTTTTAATCTATATGCAGAATAGATTATAAAGAAGGCTCAGCTATATAATGTGGCATCAGGACTGGAGGAAGACTCATCAATAATCTGTATTATGCAGATGACACAACCCTGCTTACTGAAACTGAGGAGGACCTTAAGCGCTTGCTGCACAAGGCCAAGGTGTACAGTCTTCAATATGGATTAAAGCTCAATTATCAAGAAAAGAAAAATTCTCACTTTGGGGCTGATTGGCAGTATCATAACAGATAATGAAGAGATTTAGATTGTTAACAGCTTTAGTTTGCTATTAACAATGAACATTCTTGGTATCAGCAGTCAGGAAAAGAAAAGATGAACTGCACTGGGAAAATCTACTTTCAGAGACCTTGCCGAAGTACTGGAGAGCAATGATGTCAGTCTGGAGACTAAGGTGTACCTGATTCAGGCCATGGTCTTTGACATTCCTTGCTATGCATAAGAGAGCTTGACAATGACTAGGGAAAACAGGAAAATTGATGCCATTGAGCTATGGTGCTGGAGAAAAGTGCTGAATATACCATGGGCTGCTAGGAGAACAAACAGATTCATCCTAGACAGGGTAAAACCAGGCTGCTCCTTGTAGGCAAGGATTCTGAAGCTTCGTCTGACATACTCTGAACATGTTGCAAGGAGGGACCAGTCCTTGGAGAGGGATGTTAGAGGAAGACCCTCAATGAGATAGATTGATATAGTGACTGGAGTAATGGGGGAAGGCATGTCAGTAAAATTGGCAATAAGATTGGCACAGGATAGAGCACGGTTTAGGGCTGTTATATATAGGTTTGTTATGAGTTGCAAGTGACTCGACGGCCCATAACAATAATTCTAAAACTATTTCAATTTATATCCTAAAGAACAAAAACCAGTAGTAGTTACAGGCTTTCATTCTTATTCCTTAATCAGTGCCATGTGAAATCAGTGAAGAAATTTAATTGGCAAAGCTGGAAGTGTTTTACCAAGGAAAAGTAATTAAAAGTCTTCATCTCAAATATCATTTTAAATACTGAAGTATGCAAAATTTTATGAAGAAATTATGACATACCTTCACCAAACGACCTGGTTGTAGAAATGGTAAACAGTATTTTGGCTTGTGAATATATTCTTCAATTTCTTTACCCAATTTGGCAAGCTGCTGCCTAATCTTATAATAGACAACAACACTTTCTTCATTGGGAATTACTATCTTATTATACTGTTCTTCTGAGTTCTTCACCTCTGTAAATTAAACACATGTACAATGTGACCAAAAAAAAAATCACTATACTCAGTACACAGATTATATCCAAGATACTGTTGCATAAATTAAAGCCCTTCAGATGCATGGAAATTTTTATTTCAATACATCAAAATTAAAAACTAAACTGCATTAGTCATATTTCAAATGCTGTGAACCCACATGTGGCTAATAATGATAACTATGATACAGCAGACTGCATAGAACATTTCCAGCACAGCAGAAAGTGTCACCGGACAGTGCTATTTTAGACCCTCTAAGCAACATGCCACCTAACTTGCAGCGAAGAATTCAGTTTGCGAATCTCATTGGGCTTCCAGCACTACCTGGGACTAAGATTTCAGAATTTTATCAAAAATAAAGAAAGAGACTTTCAGGATGGGGAAAAACTTTTAAGAAAATGCATATTGATAAGGATCGAATTCCTAAAATTTATAGAAAATGCCAACAACTGAAAAACAAAAAGATAAATAACCCCGTAAGATGGGCAAAGAACAAGATTCACTAAAGCGGATAACCAAGCAGCCCACAAACACATGAAAAGATGCTCATGATCACCAGCTATTATAAAGATGTAAATCAGAACTACAATGAAATACCATCTCTCACACCAGGCTAAAATGTCATTAATTTCTTGGGGGAAATAAAAAAGGTAACATAGAGTGGCAACAAGGGTGGGGAGATTGAAACATTACTGCATGGCTGCTGGGACTATTAAATAATAGCACAAACACTATAGTTTGGGCTTTCTAAAAAATTTATGAGTAGTGATATGCCATAAAAATACTTATGCATATCTATGTTCACTGCAGCCTTATTCACAATAGCAAAAAACCCCGGACAAATTCAAGAAAACAAAATCATTGAAAACAACCAAAATAAGTATGTAAGCAAAATGTGACATATTCATATAACTGAATATTGCAAAACCATCAAGAGCAGTCTGTTAGACATAATATTAAGGGAAATTAAGGCAGTGCATAAAAACAGCGTACAACTACTAAAAATACACATATATAGAGAGAGATCTACAAGTAAGATCATGGGAGAAGACAGACAGCAGTTCAGACACCTCACTTAAGACATTAGAAAACAAAGATAATAGGCAGTGATAGCATTCTGGAACTCTGGGTTTAAAAGAGCAAGAAGGACATACTTCAAAAACAGAAGGAAGAAACGGAATGAAAACAATGAGTAGAGACAAACAGAACAAGGAATGATAAACAGTGTACCCGTAGCCATTTTGAACAGCTGTATACTCAGCATGGAAACCAGGTCTGGGGAGGTATCCACAGTAGCAGTTGGTTGACAATGGGAAAAATGACTTCCTCCTTGTCTCCTGCACCCTCCCAGAAATCAGGGAAATTATTTTCCCTTACCACCATTCCCACCACATGGTCAGCTACATTCCCATCACCTCCTCTATCTGGCAAGGAAATCATTCATAGTTCTCCTGGCCGAGTCCTGTGCTTGGCCTTCAGCCAGTCCCTTCTGATTAGTGGGGGCACCATCTAATCTTGTGTCTTACTGGGCATCCTTGCTGGCTTACGCCACAGCAACATTTAGAGTAATGTACTTGATTACTTATTTCGGTTAGTAATGACTATTTCTTCACATTAGACACTTTACTAGAAATCTTGCCTGCACACCCTCCCTTAGATTGGCAAAGACACCATCCCTAGATAGATGAGCTAGCCTAGACTCCTCTGAGGTCAGCAGCAGCTTTGCTCCACCATCTGCCAGACCAGAAAAGGTGCTACCCATGAACTTGCTTACACCTTGGGGTCTCAGTCACCTCTTACATGTTCAGAAACTCTGACCTGAGTACTTGTAAAAAGAGCAAAGGAGGCATGGAGACATCCACACCAAAGCTCCACTAATGCCACAAGGTGGAAATGCTTCCACCAACAGCATTCACAACACAAAACTAATACTCACAAAGTAAGATATGTACCACACACACCTGCACCTAATTTTATTAATTCCAATTTTATTGGGTCCAAAATCCATTGCTCACAGACCACACAAACCCTACAACCATAGGATTTATTAGGGAAGTTAACAAACTACAATATAGACTGGCAGCAGGATGCAATCCTTAAGTCCAAACAGTTGCTCCAGCATGGTGGAAGGTTCTTCAACCTTCAGTGTCATAGCTTAGGTCAGTGTTACAAAGTTCCCTTATACCTGCCAGTTATGGCTTCTTCCCTCAGTCACCCAGCAAGCTGGGGTAAAGGACGCTGGCTCGTCAGCATGCAGCAGCAGTCCCAAGTCAACTCTGTCTCAGGTTGCTCTCTGATTCTCTGCTGAGGCTGCTATTGCTCTTGTGTAGATGCTGGCCTGGCTGGTGGGGAATCTCTGACCCTGACGGACACATGCTGCTCTCCCTTGCTGGTACCGAGATTCTCTATCTCTGCTATTGAAACTGCTTCATTTAAACTGGTGGGATGGTTAAACTAGCCAATTCCCTTGTGGACAGACTAACATACTCTACTTGTATGATCACGCCCAAACATTTTGCAAAGTCAAAGTCAATTAAAGGATAGGAAAAAGTCATTAAACAATAACCCTGAACCCCACAATATCTCAATGTCCACATGCTGCTGTACTGGTAGACACAGGGTACCAGGCCAGGTATCTTGTTCACAACAGCAGCCACAAGAGCACCAATCAGGTGCTTTAATACACTTACCTCAACAGTTACATGTCTTCTTTCTTTGTTTTTATTTCCCATAACTTTTAGTTTTTGTTTGCTGGGGTCATTCTTGAGTCACAGTCAACTCAATGACACTTAACAACAATACTGATCATAGGATTTCCAAAGCTGCAAATCTTGACAGACTATCACAACTTTTTTCTCTGTAAGTTAAGGTGAGTTTAAAGTACTATCTTTTTGGTGAGCAAATTAGTTCCTTAAATACTACCATCACCAGGACACCTAACTCAAAATAGAAAAACCACCAAAATTCTCACAATTAGAAGACATACCATGACAAACATTGGGCCAGTCTACTGCAAAGACCACTTTGAAGTGTTAAAAGCAAAAACATCATCTGGAGAACTAAGGTATGCCTGACCCAAGCCACAACACTTTCAGCTGCCTAAGATGCAGGGGAAAACATCTGGGCAGTAAATAAGAAAACGGGGAATTAATGCACCTGAATTATGATGGTGCCCAAGAATAGAGACTAGCATGAAATTCCAGAATAAATAAATAAAATACAGCTTGGAAGACTTCAGCCAGAATTTTCCTTAGAAATAAGGATGGTAAAATTTCATCGCTCCTATTCCTAACATTATTCACTTGGAGAAGCCAACTGAGTTCCTGAAATAGAAGTATCCTGCTTGGTAGAGGACTGAGGGGAAAGCAGTCCTTTAACATGATGGATTCATACAGGGGCTGCAACAATGGACTCAATGACAACAACTGTGAGGATGTACAGGATCAGGCAGCATTCTGTTCTGTTCTACATACGGTCGTTAGGAGGTGGAAATGATCTGGTGGCAAACAACAATAACAACTTATAGTAGTTTTATACTTACTTTCTACTACTCCTGGAATTGCTCTATAATGCTGAAACTGGTAAAATGATTTTTCCAACATGTACTCAGGATTAATTTCTTCTACACGGAGTAAGTTTAAAACCATGTTGTAGGTCAAATGGAAAGCACTATTTAAAGGATCAGCTGAACCCTAAGAAAGAAAACACAATGCACAATTTTCAAATAGATTTACACAAATGTTTGTTTATAACCTGTTATACTGCTTGACAATCTACTTTTTATTAAGAAACATGATGGAATGTATTAAGTAAGTTCCTTTAGCAGAATAACAAAAGCTGATGAACAGGTTGATCTTTTAGAAACAGAAGGGGGGAGAAAATAATGTCAGTAGTACCTACAAGTGTTATCTGACAAATATGTTCAGCTCTCTGCTTTTAAAGTGTGTCAGGAATATAATTCCTGTGTTTCGGGTGGTTAGAGACAATAAATTAATGAAATAAATTAGGGAAAGTGAAATGTGCCACTTCCTGAACTAGCTGTCATTTACTGGTGCCATGTGGAACTATATGATATTACCATCAGGAAGGCTGGCCTCTAAGTAGTATGCCACATACATTGGGGAGAAAAAGAAAAACTAGAACATTTAGAATAGTTGCTGTACTAATCTAGGTAAAAGAGATTAAAACTATAAATCAGAGGGGTAGCAATGTAAAAAATATCACAAAGTCACTGAAAGGATCAGAGCTGATGCACAGCTGACCCTCTAACAGGTTTTAAGAAGTTGTAAAACACACAGGAGGGGACTATCAGTGGTGAGGAATTAAAAGACTGACCTAAGATATGTTGTGTAAAGTGCCTGCAATAATCAACTGATAAGAAGAAATGGATGAAGCAGAAGAGAAGCAGGAAACTGATGAACTTCTAAATCGAAACTTACATTTTTTATTAACCAAAAATCTGTATGAAAGGAAATTGAGTCACTAATAGGAAAGAGAAATTTCATTTTAGATAATGAAACTAAGATACTTTTAGAAAAAAAAAAAAGAGGATGCTGTAAATAATTACACTTAACACTGGAACAGATGAGAATTTAGGGAAGCAACAAGACCTGAACTATTCTATCCTATGCCATCTGCACACTTCTGACGTACAAGAGGCCACTGTAGTAGTCATTGTGTCAATCCACCTGGACTTCCTCTCCTTCACCAACCCTCCACCTTTCCAAGCATCATGTCTTTCTCCAAGGACAACCCCTTCTATAAGCCCCGAGTATGTGAGGTGAAGCCTCGTAATTCTTGCCTTCAAAGAGCATTCTGGATACAAGCTCTCCACGACATACACCTTTGTTCTCCTGGTCATCCACTGGAATATTCAGTGCTCCTATCCAATACCACAGCTCAAAGGCATCAATATTTCTTCTGTCATCCCTATTCATTATCCAGCTCTCAGCTGCATAGCAAGTGATTGGAAAGCCTGTAACAAACGCACCTTAGTCCTCACAATGACATTATTACTCCCCAATAATTTGGAGAGGTCCCTAACTGCAGATTTCCCCAATGTAATGCATCTTCTTATTTCCTCATTGCTGGTACCAAGGGTGTTAATTGTAGATCCAAGTAAGATGAAGTTGTTGACAGTTTTGATCTCTACTCTATACATCATGATGTTGCCTATCAGTCCAGTGGTAAGAATCTTTGTTTTCTTGACAGTGAGATGCAATCCATACCAAAAGCTACATTCCTTTGGTTGTATCAAGCAAGGTTGTATCATCTGCATAATGCAGGTTATTATCAGTCTCCCTCCAATCCTGATGCCACACTCCTCTTCAGCTTCATGAATAATTTGCTCAGCACACAGACTGAATAGGTATGGACAAAGAATACAACCATGACGCACATCCTTCTCAATTTTAAACCAGGCCGTGTTCCCCTGCTCTGTTTTGCACAACAGCCTCCTGATCCAGGTATAGGTTCCACATGAGCAAAATCAAGTACTCTGGGATTCCCATTCTTCTCAGCTACAACTTATGATCCACACAGTCCAAAAAAGCACACATATAGACATTCTTCTGGTATACCTTACTTTCAGCCAGGATCCATCTGACATCAGCAATGATATCACTTCCAAATCCTGACTAAACTTCTGGCAATCTATGTACTGTTCTAGCCATTTCTGAATGATCTTTAGCAGTATTTTGTTTGTATGTGTTAAGAAATATAGATGATATGTGTGCGTGTGAGGCGGTGTGTGTATAGTTTTTAAAAGAAAGGGAAAGAGTATACTTCCCTAGCATTTTCATTACTATTAGTTATAAATTGAGGAGTATATGGTAAGGGGTGGGGGGAAAAAAATCAGAATTCTACTCGCCTCACTTGAATATAATGTCAAAATACTACAGCAGTTGGAAACATGAAAGCAAGGCTTGTGGTAGGAACATTTTTAATAAGGACAGTCCAAACTTCTTAAACATAGTACCAATAGAAGAGGGAAAAAAAGTCAGAAATTAAAGGTTGAGTCTATTAAAAAAAACTTTAAGTAAAGTGGTTTTAAAATAATCCAATGCCTAAGAATCTAGTTTTGAAGTGAGTTTCTAGAATTCCTGGTGAAGGGTAAAGGGACAAATCTTAGCTCAGTTACCTTAAGTAGCTGTTTCCCAACCGTTGGGCTCATCTTTTCATCCACCATAAGAATCACAATTCCCCTATCATCCATTCCCCTCCTCCCAGCACGACCAGACATCTGAATGTATTCCCCCGAGGAAATCTGAAAGAACATAATTAAAATTCTGTGCTTGGGGGAAAACGTGGTATAAAAAATGAGTAATTATGAAATATTACAGTATCTTTATTCAATAAGTCTATTACATTAAATAAAACAAAGATGAAAAATAGCTACAATCTATGTAATTATGTCACTTACCCATCTGAAATCTTTGCCATCGAACTTGCGGGCATTAGTAAACAAAACTGTTCTGGCTGGCATGTTAATTCCCATAGCAAAAGTTTCTGTGGCAAATAAGGCCTAAAAAAATGAGTTAATGAATGCATTTTAAGCTGAAAATGAAGTTTTATCATTTAAACATTATTTATTTATTTATTTTTAAAATTTTATTTTTGTGTGAGTGTACCGTCAAATCAGATCTGACTGGTACAGGAGGAGATTGTCCCTCCTTTTCCCGGCAGAGCATCTGGTGGATTCCAAGCGTGTGCCTCTGGGATTGTAGTTGCAGCTCCTTGCCACTAGGCCACCAGAGCTCCCCAAACGTTTTTATTTTTAAAAATCAGTACTTAAGTCTGTCCAGCAAAAACAAAGCAGAAAATATTTCTAGTATATGTATTTCAAAAGTATATATAAATATCTACACCCAAATACTTTTAAATTGAGGACAAAATAGGCCATAAATTCCAATAAGGTAAAAGGAGAATGGATAAAAGATTACCCTGTAAAGTTTTTTGGTTTCTTCATTGATGATCTACCTAATTTGGGAGATTCTTTCAATTTTAACATTTAAAAGGTACTATCAAAATCAGTGGCTAACTTCTATGACAAAGATGCATATGGACAAGAAAAGTCACTGAAGTAGTATTAAATAGCCTAAATTTTCGGCAGTAGAGAAATACATAAAAATAAACCACACATTGTATCTATACATGCTAGTGAATATTTCTAGGAAATAAAGAGCAAACATGGGTTTTCATGTAACATATAATTATCCTACATGAATTTTACAACCTATAAGCATCACTTAAAGAGTTTTTGCTGGATTTTCTTTTTTTCAATTTAATTAATTTTAACGAACATTTACAGAGATTTTGGATTTCCATTCATTCATTGTTGCACTTTTCTCCCTGCCAACCCCTCCTCTACAGTTTGCTCTTCTCTTAGAAAAATAAAATTCCTTCATTGTTATACAACCCCCCCAACCCAAGTAGACTCAACTATGCAACCTTCATTCTGGACTCTTGTGATAACCATAATACCCTATTGTATATCATGTTTTAAGAAGGACTCAGCAAATATATACTGCCCACAGGAATATTAAAAGTACTTTCTCATGACCCAGGTGTAAATATTGATTGGTTCTTTATATCTAAAACAATTGCTGTCAGTTTTTCAGGATAGGTAGATTTCTTCTACTCAGTGCAGGTTATTCTATTTATTTATTTTTTTTAAAAATCCTTATTTTAAAATCTAAAATCTAACATAATATGAGATGCATACAGGTATATAATTAGTTTAAGAAGTTTCTCATACTCAAAATCCCATCTGAGTATAAAATTAACATCCATCTTTTCTCTTTAAAACAGGACTCTGATTTAAAACACAGTATCTATAAAACTGTTTATTAAATATAACCAGCAACTCTCCTTGTCTTCTCTAAGATATCTTTTTAATCTATGCATATGTACAAGAAGATCACTAGTCTGGAATCATCACCATGTCTAGTAATTAAAAAGCAGTTTCTCCAAACTCCCATATTGTTATCTAATACTGTTACCTTCAAGATTAAAATAAAAAAAAATAATTATTTTTACTTGTAACCTGAATTTTATGAAGTCTAACCTATACATAAAATCAAGTTCCTAAATCAACCACTGCCATGATTGGTTTGAAAAAAGAAAAGCAAAAAAAGTACTTTTAGAATTCAGAAAATTAGAGTATTCTCTAAATTTCAAATTACCCATAGATTACAATTCTGAAACATAATAAAACATTAAATCATACCTTTATCAATCCTTCAGAAAAGAGAATTTCAATAGTTTCTTTTAAAATGGGAAGTAAACCTCCATGGTGAATACCAATGCCTCGCTTCAAAAGAGGAAGTACATGCTCAACCTGCAATTTAGAGCAATAATTATTTATAAGGATGTGTAAAAATGGAAATTTCAAAATGCTAAGTAAAATTTTTGAAAGGTAGAAATTTTTAAAATGCTGTTTAAAGAAAACAGTTATAAACATTTACAAATGCAACATAAAAAGTCAAACCCATAGTCCCATAGATTATTAAACTCAAAACAAAAAGCTTTAGTCTGCATTCATTTACTATGAAAACATTGTTTTTGTTTTAAATACATTTTGCAAAAGTTTGGTTTCATTCAAATTTTCTACCATCACAAGCTATGAAGGCAAATTCTGTATCCACATACAAGAAAAGAAAACAATTAAATTGAAAGAAAAAGAAAAAAAATATTTGATATGGACCTCACTTACATTTATAAAGAGTTTATTCTCTTTATCATTATATCATATTCCATTAAATACTTAGATTACAAGTGTAGGAAACAGGGCCACTAACCAAAAGGTCAGTGGTTTGAGCCCACAAACTGTCCTACTCCTGGATAAAGATGTGGCAGGCTGTTTCTGTAACTATTTACATCCTTGAAAACCTTCTGAGGAAGTCCTGCAGAGAACAACTGCAGGCCATAAGTCTCATAATGGTTAAGTCTGTTGGGGGGGTACTGTCATGTAGAAATGTAGAGTCATAGTGACACTCAGCTGCCAAATGTAACTGCTAAAAGGAATGTGAATGGGTCAAACCTACAAGCTGCTCTTGTGGGGGAGGGGGAAGAATAGGGGATTTACTTTCATAAAGATTACAGAGAGAGCTTGAATCAATCCTTCCAGGTTCAGTCTTAGCCAACAGAGTGAATCCATAAAGGATTCAAAACTGTAAATGAGTGAATCAGAACAGGAAAAGCTATATTTTGATACCCTGCTAGAAATTTATCTTGCTTTCAGAAAATAAAGCTACTGCAACCAAATTTCTTAACATTCAGATGCAAACAACAGTGGTAAAACTTTAAGAAAGTAGAAAACTTTAAATGTGTGCTGCTCTCCAGTGTCTTGGTAATAATTCAATTCTATAAAGATGCTAAAAGAGCTTACCACAGTATATCTACCTAGGATTTTTCCTGTCAGAGTTACTGTTTTACCTCAACTAAGAGTTCTAAGCCTGCTTGTGTTTCCATTTTGCTACACTAATTATGATTGTATTCCTTGTATGGTGCCCCTTGGAAGCAAAAAATGATAAAGCTTCACCCCACATACTTTGTTTATGTTGTCAAGAGAGGATATTCCTTGGAGAGAGGCATCATATTTGTAAAAGTAGGTGAGTGAAAGTGAGGAAGACTTTCAAGCAGAGGAAGTGACAGAGTGCCTGCAGCAATGGACTCGAGCATGTCATGTTATGAGGATGGCACAGGACAAGACAGGACTCAGATCTGCTGTTCACAGGGTTGCTATGAGTTGTACTTGACTCAATGGAACCTAACAACAATAGTCATAACTGAACCCATCCGAGGTCTGAATATAATCAAGGAAATCCTGTGTAGCTAAACTACAGTAGGTTATTTATCACTAACTAAGAACCAACTTGATAGCACATAATAATAGAAAAGTATATTGTTGTTGTTGTTGTTATGTGCTGTC